GGACACCAAACGCGGGTTGAATGGCTTTGAGCTTTGTAGAAACTCCCGTAGATGTAGATGTAGATGCCACTGGTTCTTCACGTTCTGTAGATGTAGATGCCACTGGTTCTTAACGTTCTGTAGATGCCACTGGTTCTTCACGTTCTGTAGATGTAGATGCCACTGGTTCTTAACGTTCTGTAGATGCCACTGGTTCTTCACGTTCTGTAGATGTAGATGCCACTGGTTCTTAACGTTCTGTAGATGCCACTGGTTCTTCACGTTCTGTAGATGTAGATGCCACTCGTTCTTCACGTTCTGCAGATGGAGATGCCTCTGGTTCTTCACGTTCTGTAGATGTAGATGCCACTGGTTCTTCACGTTCTGCAGATGTAGATGCCACTCGTTCTTCACGTTCTGCAGATGGAGATGCCACTGGTTCTTCACGTTCTGTAGATGTAGATGCCACTCGTTCTTCACGTTCTGCAGATGTAGATGCCACTCGTTCTTCACGTTCTGCAGATGGAGATGCCACTGGTTCTTCACGTTCTGTAGATGTAGACGCCACTGGTTCTTCACGTTCTGCAGATGTAGATGTCACTGGTTCTTCACGTTATACAGATGTCGATGCCACTGGTTCTTCACGTTCTGTAAATGTAGATGTCACTGGTTCTTCACGTTCTACAGATGTAGATGCCACTGGTTCTTCACGTTATGTAGATGCCACTGGTTCTTCACGTTCTGTAGATGTAGATGCCACTGGTTCTTCACGTTCTGTAGATACCACTGATTCTTCACGTTCTACAGATGTAGATGCCACTGGTTCTTCATGTTCTGCAGATGTAGATGCCACTGGTTCTTCACGTTCTGCAGATGTAGATGCCACTGGTTCTTCACGTTATGCAGATGTAGATGTCACGTATTCTTCACCTTTCTGCAGATGTAGATGCCACTGGTTCTTCACATTCTGTAGATGTCACTGATTCTTCATGTTCTACAGATGTAGATGCCACTGGTTCTTCTCGTTCTGCAGATGTAGATGCCACTGGTTCTTCACGTTCTGTAGATGCCATTGGTTCTTCACGTTCTGCAGATGTAGATGTCACTGGTTCTTCACGTTCTGTAGATGCCACTGATTATTCACGTTCTACAGATGTAGATGCCACTGGTTCTTCACGTTCGGCAGATGTAGATGCCACTGGTTCTTCACGTTCTGCAGATGTAGATGCCACTGGTTCTTCACGTTCTGCAGATGTAGATGCCACTGGTTCGTCACGTTCTGCAGATATAGATGCCACTGGTTCTTCACGTTCTGCAGATGTAGATGCCACTGGTTCTTCTCGTTCTGCAGCTGGAGATGCCACTAGTTCTTCTCGTTCTGCAGATGTAGATGCCACTAGTTCTTCACGTTCTGTAAATGCCACTGGTTCTTCACGTTCTGCAGATGTAGATGCCACTGGTTCTTCACGTTCTGCAGATGTAGATGTCACGGGTTCTTCACCTTTCTGCAGATGTAGATGCCACTGGTTCTTCACGTTTTGCAGATGTAGATGCCACTGGTTATTCACGTTCTGTAGATGCCACTGATTCTTCACGTTCTGCAGATGTAGATGCCACTGGTTCTTCACGTTCTGTAGATGTAGATGCCACTGGTTCTTCACGTTCTGCAGATGTAGATGTCACTGGTTCTTCACGTTCTACAGATGTAGATGCCACTGGTTCTTCACGTTCTGTAGATGTAGATGTCACTGGATCATCACGTTCTACAGATGTAGATGCCACTGGTTCTTCACGTTCTGTAGATGCCACTGGTTCTTCACGTTCTGTAGATGTAGATGCCACTGGTTCTTCACGTTCTGTAGATACCACTGATTCTTCACGTTCTACAGATGTAGATGCCAATGGTTCTTCATGTTCTGCAGATGTAGATGCCACTGGTTCTCACGTTCTGCAGATGTAGATGCCAATGGTTCTTCACGTTCTGTAGATGCCACTGATTGTTCACGTTCTGCAGATGTAGATGCCACTGGTTCTTCACGTTCTGCAGATGTAGATGCCACTGGTTCTTCACGTTCTGCAGATGTAGATGTCACGGGTTCTTCACCTTTCTGCAGATGTAGATGCCACTGGTTCTTCACATTCTGTAGATGCCACTGATTCTTCATGTTCTACAGATGTAGATGCCACTGGTTCTTCTCGTTCTGCAGATGTAGATGCCACTGGTTCGTCACGTTCTGTAGATGTCACTGGTTCTTCACGTTCTGTAGATGCCACTGATTCTTCACGTTCTACAGATGTAGATGCCACTGGTTCTTCACGTTCTGCAGATGTAGATGCCACTAGTTCTTCACGTTCTGCAGATGTAGATGCCACTGGTTCTTCACGTTCTGCAGATGTAGATGCCACTGGTTCTTCACGTTCTGCAGATGTAGATGCTACTGGTTCTTCACGTTCTGCAGATGTAAATTCCACTGGTTCTTCACGTTCTGTAGATGCCACTGGTTCTTCACGTTCCGTAGATGTAGCTGCCACTGGTTCTTCACGTTCTGCAGATGTAGATGCCACTGGTTCTTCACGTTCTGCAGATGTAGATGCAACTGGTTCTTCACGTTCTGCAGATGTAGATGCCACTGGTTCTTCTCGTTCTGCAGATGTAGATGCCACTGGTTCTTCACATTCTGCAGACGTAGATGCCACTGGTTCTTCACGTTCTGCAGATGTTGATGTCACTGGTTCTTTACGTTCTGCAGATGTAGATGCCACTGGTTTTTCTCGTTCTGCAGATGTAGATGTCACTGGTTCTTCACGTTCTGTAGATGTAGATGTCACTGGTTCTTCACGTTTTGCAGATGTAGATGCCACTGGTTCGTCACGTTCTACAGATGTAGATGCCACTGGTTCTTCACGTTCTGCAGATGTAGATGCCACTGGTTCTTCACGTTCTGCAGATGTAGATGCCACTGGTTCTTCACGTTCTGCAGATGTAGATGCCACTAGTTCTTCACGTTCTGTAGATGTAGATGCCACTGGTTCTTCACGTTCTGTAGATGTAGATGCCACTAGTTCTTCACGTTCTGCAGATGTAGATACCACTGGTTCTTCACGTTCTGCAGATGTAGATGCCACTATTTCTTCACGTTCTGCAGATGTAGATGCCACTGGTTCTTCACGTTCTGCAGATGTAGACGCCACTGGTTCTTCACGTTCTGTAGATGTAGATGTCACTGGTTCTTCACGTTCTGTAGATGTAGATGCCACTGGTTCTTCACGTTCTGCAGATGTAGATGCCACTGGTTCTTCACGTTCTGTAGATGTAGATGCCACTGGTTCTTCACGTTCTGTAGATGTAGATGTCACTGGTTCTTCACGTTCTGTAGATGTAGATGCCACTGGTTCTTCACGTTCTGCAGATGTAGATGCCACTGGTTCTTCACGTTCTGTAGATGTAGATGCCACTGGTTCTTCACGTTCTGCAGATGTAGATGCCACTGGTTCTTCACGTTCTGTAGATGCCACTGGTTCTTCATGTTCTACAGATGTAGATGCCACTGGTTCTTCTCGTTCTGCAGATGTAGATGCCACTGGTTCGTCACGTTCTGTAGATGTCACTGGTTCTTCACGTTCTGTAGATGCCACTGATTCTTCACGTTCTACAGATGTAGATGCCACTGGTTCTTCACGTTCTGCAGATGTAGATGCCACTAGTTCTTCACGTTCTGCAGATGTAGATGCCACTGGTTCTTCACGTTCTGCAGATGTAGATGCCACTGGTTCTTCACGTTCTGCAGATGTAGATGCTACTGGTTCTTCACGTTCTGCAGATGTAAATTCCACTGGTTCTTCACGTTCTGTAGATGCCACTGGTTCTTCACGTTCTGTAGATGTAGCTGCCACTGGTTCTTCACGTTCTGCAGATGTAGATGCCACTGGTTCTTCACGTTCTGCAGATGTAGATGCAACTGGTTCTTCACGTTCTGCAGATGTAGATGCCACTGGTTCTTCTCGTTCTGCAGATGTAGATGCCACTGGTTCTTCACATTCTGCAGACGTAGATGCCACTGGTTCTTCACGTTCTGCAGATGTTGATGTCACTGGTTCTTTACGTTCTGCAGATGTAGATGCCACTGGTTTTTCTCGTTCTGCAGATGTAGATGTCACTGGTTCTTCACGTTCTGTAGATGTAGATGTCACTGGTTCTTCACGTTTTGCAGATGTAGATGCCACTGGTTCGTCACGTTTTACAGATGTAGATGCCACTGGTTCTTCACGTTCTGCAGATGTAGATGCCACTGGTTCTTCTCGTTCTGCAGATGTAGATGCCACTGGTTCTTCACGTTCTGCAGATGTAGATGCCACTAGTTCTTCACGTTCTGTAGATGTAGATGCCACTGGTTCTTCACGTTCTGTAGATATAGATGCCACTAGTTCTTCACGTTCTGCAGATGTAGATACCACTGGTTCTTCACGTTCTGCAGATGTAGATGCCACTATTTCTTCACGTTCTGCAGATGTAGATGCCACTGGTTCTTCACGTTCTGCAGATGTAGATGCCACTGGTTCTTCACGTTCTGTAGATGTAGATGTCACTGGTTCTTCACGTTCTGTAGATGTAGATGCCACTGGTTCTTCACGTTCTGCAGATGTAGATGCCACTGGTTCTTCACGTTCTGTAGATGTAGATGCCACTGGTTCTTCACGTTCTGTAGATGTAGATGTCACTGGTTCTTCACGTTCTGTAGATGTAGATGCCACTGGTTCTTCACGTTCTGCAGATGTAGATGCCACTGGTTCTTCACGTTCTGTAGATGTAGATGCCACTGGTTCTTCACGTTCTGCAGATGTAGATGCCACTGGTTCTTCACGTTCTGCAGATGTAGATGCCACTGGTTCTTCACGTTCTGTAGATGTGGATGTCACTGGTTCTTCACGTTCTGTAGATGTAGATGTCACTGGTTCTTCACGTTCTGCAGATGTAGATGCCACTGGTTCTTCACGTTCTGTAGCATGTAGATGTCACTGGTTCTTCACGTTCTGCAGATGTAGATGCCACTGGTTCTGCACGTTCTGCAGATGTAGATTCCACCACCGCCATCATCTATCGCACGGCGGTTAGAACCTAAGACTCTCAGTCCTAACAGCTGCAACTGGACGTACGGGAACACACTTTGTTCGTACCTCTGAAAGTTCGTAAGTCGAACGTTCGTAGTTAGAGGTGGTCCCCGTGGGAGAGGAAGAGGAGGGCAGGGGTAGGAACGTGAGTGAGCTCGAGACGCTTGGAGTGAATGAAATCGTCGAAGACTCCGCTGAGTGTTTGTCCCTGGTGCTGGAAGAGAAAGAGACTCTCCAATTATTGAAGTCTCAATGTGTCCAGGTGTCACCAATCACAGAGACCCACAGAGACCCATAGACTCACAGAGACCCACAGACACCCACAGAGACTCACAGCGACAGACAGACTCACAGAGACAGACAGACTAGCAGAGATCCACAGACACCCACAGTAGTGAGACACTGCTAGTGAGACACTGGGTAGTGACAGACTGAGTAGTGAGACACTGGGTAGTGAGACACTGGGTAGTGAGACACTGGGTAGTGAGACACTGGGTAGTGAGACACTGCTAGTGAGACACTGGGTAGTGAGACACTGGGTAGTGAGACACTGGGTAGTGAGACACTGGGCAGTGAGACACTGCTAATGAGACACTGCGTAGTGAGACACTGGGTAGTGAGACACTGGGTAGTGAGACTCTGGGTAGTGAGACACTAGGTAGTGAGACACTGGGTAGTGAGACACGGCTAGTGAGACACTGGGTAGTGAGACACTGGGTAGTGAGACACTGGGTAGTATGACACTGCTAGTGAGACACTGGGTAGTGAGACACTGGGTAGTGAGACACTGGGTAGTGAGACACTGCTAGTGAGACACTGGGTAGTGAGACACTGGGTAGTGAGACACTGGTAGTGAGACACTGCTAGTGAGACACTGGGTAGTGAGGCACTGCTAGTGAGACACTGGGTAGTGAGACACTGCTAGTGAGACACTGGGTAGTGAGACACTGGGTAGTGAGACACTGCTAGTGAGACACTGGGTAGTGAGACACTGGGTAGTGAGACACTGCTAGTGAGACACAGGGTAGTGCTTCAAACGCACCATTAACGCAGACTCACAGAGACCCACAGAAACCCACAGAGACCTATGGTCACAGAGATCCGTACCACAACTAAACGAAGTTCGTGTTACCGGTTGGTGATGCCCCACTGAGGTGTTTTGTTCAGATATAGGACCTCGCCATCACAACTTGGTAGCAGATGAACCAAATGGCTGACGTCATCATCATCATAGAGGCCCACAGAGACTCACAGAGACCTATAGACTCACAGAGACTCACAGAGACCCACAGACTCACAGAGACTCACAGAGACCCATAGACTCACAGAGACTCACAGAGACCCATAGACTCACAGAGACTCACAGAGACCCACAGAGACCCACAGAGACTCACAGAGACCCATAGACTCACAGAGACTCACAGAGACCCACAGACTCACAGAGACCCACAGAGACTCACAGAGACCCATAGACTCACAGAGACCCACAGAGACTCACAGAGACCCATAGACTCACAGAGACTCACAGAGACCCACAGAGACCCAAAGACACACACAGAGACTCACAGAGACCCACAGACTCACAGAGACCCACAGACTCACAGAGACCCACAGAAACACAGAGACTCACAGAGACCCACAGACTCACAGAGACCCACAGAGACCCACAGACTCACAGAGACCCACAGAAACCCACAGACCCACAGAGACCCACAGACACACACAGAGACTCACAGAGACCCACAGACTCACAGAAACCCACAGACACAGACTCATAGAGACACACAGAGACCTACGGACTAACAGAGACCCACAGACACACACAGACTCACAGAGACCCACAGACTCACAGAGACCCACAGAGACCCACAGAGACCCACAGAGACCCACAGACTCACAGAGACCCACAGAGACCCACAGACCCATAGAGACCCACAGACACACACAGACACACACACAGACACACACAGACCCACAGAGACCCACAGAGACCCACAGAGACCCACAGGCACTCACAGAGACCCACAGACACACACAGACTCACAGAGACCCACAGACACCCACAGAGACTCACAGAGACCCACAGAGACCCACACTAAAACGAAACTAAGTCCATGCAAGGCCTCACTGGCGACCTGTCCATCACAAACGTTAGCAGCTCAGTCGAGCGGCTGATATCATCACCACCTAGCCGCAGGTAGCGACTACTAAAAGCGTCGGTGGCGTTGATTCTAAAAGTGGAGGGGAGCCAGAGGAAAATCCACGCAGTGACCACCACGGGGAGAGAGACTCCAAACTTAGACAGCAGCAGCAGGCATTGGTCAGGGTGTGGGATCGAAGCCAAGGACCTACCGTAGACCAGGCGAGGTAGTTAACATCTCCTAGGCAGCGTGGCAACCAAATAAAACGAAGGCTAACACCGCCATCACCACTAACACTACCGCCACTACCACTACTACTACCACCACAACTACCCTCACCACCACCACTACTACCAACACCACTACTACCACTACCGCCACCACTACCACCACTACCACCACTACCACGACTACCACCACTACTACCACCACTACTACCACCACTACCACTACCACCACTACCATCACCACCACCTCCACTACCACCACTACCACCACTACCATCACCACTACCATCACCAATACCACCACTACTACCACCACTACCACTATAACCACTACTACCACCACTAC